GTAATAACTGAATTCTGATTATTTCTTCTCCACTAAAAAAGTGTCTGGAGTTGTAGTGGAGGGTCTTTTTTCTTGAATTTTATTGTAGTAAACGCTTCTTTATCATGCAAATGGAGTGTTTATTCATATCACTTGAACACATATGATATATGTTCTAAGATAGACTTAACTCCTTGTTTAATGGCCATTATTTGAAAACATTTTCTTTTATATGTACTTATTTTTAACCACAAATTCACACAATACAATACCCTGCATGTAAAAAATATATATATATTACTTTCTAACCACACATTCTCTTAAAAATCACTATTCCAAATGTTATTTTTTCCAAATAATGATTGTCAAACATGCGCTTATTCACTAGCATAAGAGGCACATGCATCATTCTACCTAGAACTGGACATGGTCCGGTTCGGTTCTCTTCAAAATTGAACCGGACCAAAATTTTCGGGTATTTAATAAATGGAACTACTAGGTCCAAATATGATTATGGAACCGTTCGGGTTCGGTTCCGTTCGGTTTGGTTCGATTCTATTCGGTTCCGTACCATAATTAAATTTTTTAACATTTACAATAATACTACTAAATACAACTAATTACATGTTCATTCATTGCTTTTACAAATTAAATGCACTATTTAACATTAAGAATGTTGAATTCAATCTAGTATGAACATCTAAAATAGCAAATTTTTTGTATATAATATTTTCCCTTTCAATATAACATTTAAATTTCATGAATTGGGAAGGAGATGACCGAAAATATCGAAAGAAAGTATGAAATTGGAAAGGGAATGATAAAAACTTAAAAAAAACTTAAATCTTGTACTAACAATGAAATTAATAATTGAGCCAAAAAATTAAAACAAAAAATTGAACTTAAAAATTGGGTTGGGTTGGACAAGCTAGGCATGGACTTAGCTTGAGAGTTGAAATATTAATCACTAAATTAGTTAATTTGCTAATTTGTCTAGAAAAGATTAAAATAATTTAATTAATTCAATATAAAAAATTAAAAAAAAATTATTTAGATTCGGTTCTTATTTGGTTCTTCGGTTCTAGGTCTAAAACCGAGAATCGAACCAAACTCATTGGTTTTCGATTTAGATACGAGTTCGGGTATTTAACTTATAAAGAACCGCTCGATTCGGTTCGGTTCGATTTGGTTTGTGATAGGAATGTAAAATGCATATTTTTCCCTCCTTATTTTATGTGCTCGTATAATTATTTTATGCCAAAATGTACTTATTAATATCATATTTTTGTTTATGTGTCAATTTGATGGATATAGCATAATTTGGAAGAAATAAGTGGAAAAAACCAAAATGAAAGAAAGTGAAAGTTCGGGGACTAAAGTGCAAATACTCAAAAGCCATGTTGAACCTCACAATGAATATTTAAGAGTGTTAGAGGTCAATTGGATGAAGAAAGAATTCAAAGGAGTGAAATATCGTCAAAGTAGGATCACACATCGATTTCCAATCGAAAAGTTATGCATCGGATTTCCAGTCTCAGTTTGAGACCCATTTTTGATATGGCAAATGATCGAATTGAAATATGGTATCTGAATCAAAGTTGTAGCTCTTTGAGTTAGATTTCCAACACATTTTGAATCAACTCAATTGGATACTT